AGCAGTGTGTAGGAAGTGTCTTATAAATAAGAAAACAGTGTCGAACCTTTGAAAGCCACAAAGCTGCCAAAAAAATCTGACCTGTGATGTATTGCTTTAAACCGAAGACATTCTCTCCCTCACCACTGTATGCGGGATTTTGACTGAATCTAGCAATGATCAAAAGAGCGCCAGTTCACAATTGTTCTTCCCGTGATCCTTGAGAGGAAGATATTTTGGAGACTGCAGTAATTACAGGTGAGAACATTTGATCAGTGTTTAGTAGTAAGTATAATTATTCCATAAAATTTACATATTTCAATCCACCTGTCGGCAAAGCAGTTAATCGTAGTCATTTGATCAACAAATAATTAAGGTCTGTGCTTACTGTGCTTCTATTGTGACAATTAAGCTGAATTGCTTTTGGTTTTTAGGATATTGTACGGAAGGATGATTGGACGGAAAGGGGCATTGGAGCGCAGGGATAAAATATTTCGTTTTCTGATAGGGTTAGAGCAAGCGGAAATGCGTATGTTCCTGGCTATCGTTTTTGCTCCTTTACAAAGGTTCCTTTCGGACGATGGTATATGTTTTATTGTAGAGTGAAGTGAACTCGAGTAACATAAACAAAAATGCGCGCCATTATTTAAGAGGCAGACGTCCTTTCTATTTTTAAATTCACCTTGTTTCTACGACCGTTTTGAATGTAGAAGCCACATGCATTTCTACACGTATTGACTCTTTTCTTGATGAAAACTAGCTCCTTTTAAGTATGGTTGAAGTTCGCATGATGACTTAGGTCCATTACTTGCTCTTGCCACTTTAATGCGTTCTGGGATACTTTCACCAAGGGACCGTTATTCTTTAATGCATTAGATGAACATTCAGAATGATGTCGAAAAATTTCTTTCTGAATGATATATAAAGTATATTCTCCAGCTGAACAATGAAGAATGCCTGCTAATAAAAACAAAGTTTCGTTTAAATTTCTTATAAGTTTCTTGTACAGTTGCTTCATTTCCTTCTTGTATTTGCAGTAAACCTTTTTGTAGTGAGTGTCGCTGCGTGTCTTGTCTCCGTTGAAGATGCTTGCAACTTTGCCGCATTCATACCCCTTCGGAAGTTGACCGGGTATTTTGTTTAAGAACGTTTCAACTCAGAGCAAGTTCTTATTCGTTTCTTTCAGAATTGTGGAGACGTTGTCAGCGGTTTTGAAACGAATGAGCGTACAAGTTTCCTTCTTCCGGAAAAGTCTTTTCAAACTGTGTCTAATTCTGTACACTCTACCAACGTGGATCCTGTCACGCAAAGAAGGCGCATCTTTGAATGCCGTTGCATTTGCTCGCCACATTCGCCTGTCAGCGCAACGCCGTATAGTAGAGGTAAGTTTAGAGTCACTGTCTGTCCAAAGCGCGCAGTCAGAAGTTCTCTGCCACAAACTACTATATTAGTACATTTTTAATTTGTTGATTGAGTATTTCGTTTGTGCATTGGTGATCATACGAAAAACTATATAAAAACGCGGTTTAATCATACACAGTGCAAACAATTTGGTCAATCAAGTAATTAAGTAGCATCGTTTATAACCTCTCAGTTAATCAGTTTTATGACTGTTCAGCTTTCTGCTACCTTAGCTCGTTTTCTTTTTCGATCCACTGCTTGATGAAGGCCTCTGCAAAACTTTGCCAGATACCTATTTTGTCACTCTCACGTATCTTGATGCATCGAACTTTAGCTCATCCTGTTACTGAACGCAGGGTCTTCGTACGGGCCGTTTACTGTCTTTTAGAAGCCAGTCGAATGTCTAGGCGATCCAACGACAGTTGGTTTTTCTTGCAACATGTGATGTCACTGAAATTTTTTTACTTTGAGAACGACATCGCGGAATTGTTTAGTCTTATTCATTCGTCATTATTCCAAACGCGTCTTTCTGTACTGCGTTGCACGGTCAGCAATGTTCGAATACCTTACGGGCTTGGGGTCTACGATAGATCTGCACTAGGAAACATCTAAAAATTTTCCTTTCAACCAAAAAAGCAGTTTTTCTCGATAGGAAAGTTCCAAAAGTGCTCCAGGCATTTTATTCCTCTCTTGATTTCACATCGTCGGCTCGCCGTTGCAAAGATGAGCTATCCGTGGCAGATGTAGTTTGCACTTCTTTAAGCATAAATCATTTCAGTTCAAGAGTCCCTATGGTCACGTATTTGTTGAAAATTGTCTAAGTCATCTTTGGGCCATCGAACTTTCATGCCGGTGTCTTTCACGTCTTGGATTCTTCTTTAGAGTTCTTTTGGTTGTATTGAGGAAATGTAAATATCATCCCTAGCCGCAGGTAGCTTAAATAGTGCCAATTTATCTTCGGTCCCTGATATTCCCAAACGAATGTCTTGAAAACCACTTTTGGGGTGCTGTGAATAACTTCGGTGCTATTGAGTCATCATGCCCAACGCAATATTCGATTTTCAAATTATTCGTTCTTTTGTGAAGCTTCACACTGCGGTTATACTCATATAGAGCATTGCGATGAGGTGTTTGTCTTTTCTCTATTCCCTGGCTTTTCAAGGAATCCAGTACATAACGGATGTTGACCGAGTCGAAAACCTCGAAATCGACAAACCCCAGGAATGGAGAAAGCTGATATTCGCGTTTTGCTTCATACTTCTAGAAATGATCCATCGAATGAAATCCATTTCTCAGTCCTGCGTGCTCCTTAGACTGCGCAGAGTGTAGTTTTTCGTCCAGTACCTTCGAAGGTATATGATTGGCACAGCGGACTGATCGGTGTTTAGTTCTTCAATTGTTCCTCGCTCCATTTCTGCATGGTATAATCATTGATGTACTAGTGTAATCATCTGCAGTTTTCAGTTCCTTCGGATATTGTGAAAAAAGGCGGGCTATTATCTTTATCACTTCTTCACGTTCTGATTCAGCTAGTTCTATTAGCTTCTTGGGGACTACTGAATAAAAAACTTCATTGAACCTCTGCTCGCAAATTCTGAATTGAACTGTCTTAAAGCAGTTGCGCAAAGAGTTATTTTATTTTGCTAATTTGCATAAATGTTTATAATTCACTCTTTCCATGAATAATTTTCAAAGTCCGTACCACACACTCTGGTTCTGGCACTAGTTTATTACTGTCTGGGGCAGATGGTCTTTATCGGTTTTGACATTACAGTTCCTTTCCGTTGTTAGGGGAGACTAAGGAAATCGATAACGAAATAGTTGTTAACTAGTTAGGAACATAATCGTTCTAATAATTCTGTTAATCCAGAATCGAATATTGCAGTGTGACGCATCCTTTTTGCCTGTCGATGTCTGAAAGAGGCTGTTTATGCACCGAGTGACTCTTATTTGAAAACACAGTGCGAGTCTCATCTTGCGTCATTGCCTTTTTGTCACAAAAGATGTTTCAAAACTAGTAGTCGTTTTGTGCTAGGAAACAGTTATAAAAACTACGGCTTTATGGGCCGTCATATGTCAGTCAGAAATTAACTCTTCCAAACGTGATAAATAATACCAGCGATTGAAACATCGTCCTTGAAGAACAACTGGTTAATCCATGCAACAAATTATGCGATCGCTAAGAAAGCCCTCATCTAAGATCTTTCGACTGTCTCATTATATTGTGAAGCTAGATTTTATCAGGTTGTATATATTTAATTTGTTTACTGTATGTTTGACTTTCTTATGTTGTAAGCATTCTACCTTTCAGTATTTTAATGCGTTTAATTGGATGCCGTTGGATATGGACGAAACAGCGTCGTTGTTCAAGTTAGTGATATGGCCGCAGCTTGGAGTTTGCAACTTTTTTGATAACAAGAACAACCCTGGTACTCTTTGGAACTTGTTTATGACCTGGAGTAATTCAACGATGTATGACGCTTTTCGACACAGACCTAATTGCATTTTGTAATTGAATGTTTTCAGTTTTTGGCACATGTTGGACCAGGAGGAGCCGGATTCTAAAATCAGTCCACTTTCGGCATTGTTTACCATTTTGGACGATCAAGAGACTTCAATTAATAGTCAAAATATCATTCTTAAAATAGTCAACAATCTTTTGTTATTAATGAACAATGATCGTTTATCTAACGACTCTGTGAATTCGCAAAGAGGAATCGTTCCTACCTCTGAAATAGGCAAAATGCTTTTACGGTATGGCAATCGATTGGCGATGTTCTTATACCAGCGACAAAAGACTAAGAGAACCGTCGACGAAATGGATCTGTTTATTCTTTCTCACCTGTGCAAGCAGAGTGTCACAGATCAACCGCTGCAGCAAATGTTCGTCACATTGTTGCTATCGTTAATATTCAAAAAACACTTGCCTGAGGTAAAATTTCTATCACATCAGTGAATGTGGAAGCTTCATTTGTTCATTTTAGGCATCAGAACAGGACATTCTATGTACCATCTTGTCGCTTCTTCGCCTTCTTCCTGAACCATCAGCTTATTCTTCGTATTTAGTTTTCTTTCTGCTTTTTCTAGCGCTTTTGTGGAAAATTTCCGTTTTAGTTATGTATTTCCGTTGTTTGCGCGTCTGAAGTTTCGAGCATCACGAGCGCTTCTTTGCGAAATTTTAAACGTAGTATACCCAAAGAAGGAAAGGGAAGACGTGCGAGAAATTGTCATTGGAGTAAAACGTCATATGATTGCTATAGTGTTGTTTTATCTATCGATTTTGAAGCTGAATTCATGGGACAAATCCAATGTCGAAGAGCCGGATTATAGGCGACGTTTGAATAGTCACAACGCTGCCAACTCCCTTCTGAACACAGTCGATGACGCCGACTTCTCTGACTTTTGTCGACTTCTCTTTTACAACTGTGTGCATCTTTTGGAAGCGGTATCGTTGCTATCGCTGTCATGTGGTGGTTGCAGGTTTACTATTTTTTAGGGCATCGACATGTCTCTGCGAGATAACGCATGTTTTTCAATGCAAAAGACAGTTGAAACCATCCGCGTTCGTTTAAACTTCGAAGATAGTTCGAAATTATTACGACGCTGTATCCTGCCTAAACTGTGTTGTCTGCTTACTTCAAAAAGTGATGTACGTTATGTCTAGTGATTTGGTTTGTCTTCTTCTTTAAGACGAATCATGTACTTTTGTTTAGATAGTTCGTTGCAGCGGCCTGCAGGTGCTTCGTTCCTGCGTTCTCAACTTTTCTACGCACCCGAAACTTATCAGTTTAAGCCAGTTGATCAGCGAAGACGATACCGAGGCAGATTTTTTTGAGAATCTTCGGCATATTCAGGTATGAGTGAAATTGTCATTGATTAAATGTACATCGAAAACAGTAACTGCATAACTCCTTTGCTTGGTTTGTTAATGAAAGATTGACTGACATAAGCTTAGCGCAAATGTGACTTGCTGAAAGAAAACAAGGTAAAATCTTCAAGTGATACAAAATAATTGATGATTTCAGGTTTGTTTTGTCAGTGCTTTAAACCTTTATTTCTACTGATTTGTATTCACTTTTTTCTTTGCATCACGCAGCCAGGTACATTAAGAAGTGTAAATTTCATCCATATCCATACATAAAGGGCGATACTGCCTTTTTTTCAAAAATGTTAGCTGTCTGCAAGGCCTGGGTAGATCATATGAAGTTCTCAAAGTGAACATTGCGCTCGTGATCGCGCAGCTTTGTTTTGCTAGTTCAGAGTATGTTATCATAATTATGTGCTTTTTAGGGAAGTCGTTAGATTTCTTAACGTACCGATGTCTGGCAAAGATTAAATCTTTTCGGTGCTTATTTTCGTATTGATATTTCAGTAGACTGCATCCTAATCAAGAAATACAAAATTTTGCTGAATTGTAATATCGTCATCATTGCTGGCCGTAGCCGAAATTTTAAATAAACATTTTTTATATCATAAGCATATTTGTATTCACATTTGCGGTCTGTCTAGAAATAGTGGATAGACATGTGGATAGACTTCAAAAATGGGCAGATATCAAAGAAACGGCTCAATGATCTTCGATTTGCTGACGACTTTATGCTGATTGCGGGAATTACCGCTAAACTTTTAGAAATGCTATAAGAACTCACGAAGGATACCTGCGAATTCGAATCCGCTCTCCTGGAGAGGGTGCAAAAAAATGGAAAGTGACATCTGTTTGGGTGAGGTAGGTAGCTTTCCACGTGATCAAAAGGTGGAAATCTGACGCAGTAGAAAAGCAGGCTGGCGGACTTGTAACTCCGTCATGGATATGCTTATTGGAAAGACGAACAGATCTACGGGGCCTATTTGTTGAAGAAAGAAGTATTTCTGGCGATACTCTGTAACTGCGAAACACACTCGCTGACGAGAAGCAGGCACATCGTCTATCTCTTACCGACATAGTGATCAACTTGGGAATTTCGTTCTGTGCCCATATATTTGAGGCAGATATCAGACAGCAGACCTAGATAAATGCATATCATCGTTGAAAGCAGAGAGATGTAAATATCATCGCTGGATTTACTGACTACCAATGAAAGTTGTTGTCGCTGCGGGAGCACAAGCAGATGCTGGATCATTTTCCGAATAGATTGGACGAGTTTATCTCTAGATTAAAAGAACCACTGCTACAGAGAAAGGCACGAATGAGCGATAGTGGAGAAAATGTTTTGACCGGTAAAATTATGTGACTGTTAAATGCTGATCGATCAGATAAAATTGCAACAGAACCCATGATTTTGTTTTGCTGAAAGAGATATAATGTTTGTTAGTGGCCTGCGCAGTTGAAATTGGGATCTATTACGGAACAAATTTATATCATGATCTGGCCAGTCGACGCTACCTTACAGAATGAGGCAATAAAATGAAAGAAGTGAAACTGACTTTCAGGTGTTTCATTAACTGCTTTGTTTTTTCTGTATTGTCTTTCTCCTGCTCATTGTCTCATTGTGCTCATTGCTTTACAGCTCCACCGAAGGGCACGAGCTTTGCGTCGCTTATCAGAAAAAATGCTTAACAAACCGACTGACTTTCGCCGGATACCTGCGGAGACGTTGCGTTGTTTCGTTCTGCCTGTAGTCGTTCCGCTGTTGACTGATCCTGCGTTCGTCAAGAATACTGCGCTCATTGACGAAATTGTCAAGTTCCTTGGATGCTACTGTTCAGTCGCATCATGGAAAAAGTACCTCGCGCTTCTGAAGCATTACCTCCGACAGAAAGGTTTGGAAGCGATCCAAGCGAAGCTACGCATAAGGTACGTGTTAGTCGTAGCGTTTGGAAAGGATCGCAGTTTCCACGTACAGCTTTTTCGTAGTCTGTAATCATTCTGTTGAAGAAATTTGCGATCATTCTTTTTCAGTATTGACATTCTTCTAGAATACTTGTTTCCATATTGGATTCATTTCACTTCAAGCTGAAAAACTGCGATTCTTCAGAACAGCCTGACTCCTCATCACTCTATTCTGATAAGGAGCGAGAAGTGCTGGATTCCATACGGGGTCTGTTGCCGTCTTTGATAAATTACTTTTCTCGTGCTGGCAGCCACGATTTCGCGCACAAGCTATCTCAAGAAGCGAAGTATGCCGACGAAGCTCTTGCAGTGGCCCGCATACCAGTTGCTATGGCATTGGTCAACCTGCTAACTAAATTGCCGGAATCTTTTCTCAGCGATAACCTCAGTCGGTAAATGATCGCTTGGATTGACGATCGTATTTAATTTCGACTTTTTCAGGATAAATTTTAAAATTTACAACATGCTGAAGAGTAGATCATGGGAAGTGCGTGAGACGTCGCGAAAGACGCTGTGCTCGATCGCACGATCAGTCGGTGCCACATACCTATCGTCAATGGTCAAGGATCTGAGGAGTGTGTTGATCCGCGGATACCAGCTTCACGTACTCACCTACACCATCTATACACTGTTGACCTCGGTCGCTATGGAACTGAAGCCGGGCGATCTCGACGGCTGTCTGCGCGATATCTGCGCCGTAAGTTCC